ATGGGGCTCCTCTGGTGGATGGGGTTCCTCGCAAAGCTGGGGAACTCCAGCCGTGTGACCATGCAGCGAGCATGCACGATCGGTTCTTGCAGAAAAAAGTTTTGTGTCCGTGTTGTGTGCTGTAAGTGACTTAAGGCAGGAAGCCTCGGGCTCCTTGAAGTGGTAGAGGTGCAGCAATTAACAGGAGCACTATATGCACCCTAAACCTTAAACCCTTAAACCCTAAAGCCCCAAACCCTAAACCCGTCTGCGAGCTTCTTGCAGTTTTTCAATAGGGCAGGAAGCCTCAGGCTCCTCAGAAGGTTTAGGACAGGAAGCCTCAGGCTCCTCAGAGGGTTTAGAACAGGAAGCCTTGGGCTCCTGAAGTTGAGTGCTTGAAGCTAGAGTTTGACCGAGGATTACTGTAGCACTCTAGAGGCTCCCATGTCAGCCCAGGCCCCTTGTCATCTGCATACCGTGCTGCAGTCCTGGAGCTCAAGACAAGACGTGTTTCACCCTCGCTTCAAGCCATGAGCCAGAGTGCCTTGGACGTGTTCTTCGGTGGAAAGCCAGAGCTCGGCACTCAGCAAGAAGACACTCAAGAAGTGGAGCTAGTTGAGGAAGTCCCGGAGCCTCAAGAGCCTGAAGCTAGCGAGCTTGAGGCTGCACCCAAGGCCAAGGCCAAGGCCAAGGCCAAAGCCAAGGCCAAGGCCAAGGCCAAAGCCAAGGCCAAGGCAAAGGCGAAGGCCAAAAGCAAGGCCGCCGAGGAGCCTAAAGCAAAGGCCAAAGGCAAGGCGGCAAAGTCCGAGAAGTCCAGCGAGGACGAGAAGGCGGACGACGAGGCCGTGGCGAAGGAGGAGAAGCAGCAGGAGTCGAGCCAGGAGCACGAGCAGGACGAGAAGGCCGACAGCGACAGCAAGAAGCCCACCAAGCCCCAAACCAAGGCCAAGGCGAAGGCCAAAGCCAAGGCCAAAGCCAAGGGCAAGGGAAGCACGGTCGAAGAGCCGAACACCCAAGACAACGGTACGGAGAAGCGACCGGGCAGCCCGCCGGAGGAAAGCAGCAAGGCGAAAAAGTCTCGCTCGGACCAGGACCGTGAGAAAGCGGCGAAGCTGGGCGACCTGCAGCTTTGCAGCGGCGAGCCCCAGCCGCCTGCCGGGCAGGGGGAAACCAGGGACAAGAACAAGGCATGGTGGTTCTCGAAGCACTTGAGCACCATGCCGGACGATATCCAGAAGCTGTTTCTCTCTGACAAAGTGTCACGGGTGCCTTGCCACATTTTGATATCTAGGCTTTGGCCCCTATAAAGGAGGCACCGTCAGAGGCAGCCTTTTGGCTCCTGGTATAATTGCCATAGGCTTTTGATCCTTGAGGTAGCCTTTGGCTCCTGCTGTGCAAACATCTGAGGCCGACAAGACGAAGCTCATCAATGGTGCGGTTGAGAAGAACTCCGGGGGCAAGGCCGGCCAGTTGTACAAGCTGAACACCGAGTCCGCCGTGCTCCAGCAGCTGAGCACCTTCTACAAGAAGGTTTGCGGCAAGGACAAGGTGAAGGGCAAACCCACAGCACTGATGGTGGCCAAGCTGGGAGGGGAGGAAGCTTTCAAGAAAGCTCTGGCCACCGGGGATGTGTATGAGGTGAACAACAATGGTTCCTTGTTCTGCTGCTTCAGAGAGATCGTCGTCACCAATGAGACTGGAACCAACAATAGGATGTCGACATCGAAGCTACGGAGCATTTAGAGGCTTATGTTTTAAAAGCTAAGCTATAGATACTAAGTTTTGTTCCCATCAGCTCAGGAAGCCCGACCAGAGCATCACCGACTCCGCCGCCCAGGGATTCGACAGCTTCTTCGCAAACTTCCAACCATGCCTGGAACCGGACCGTGCTGCTGGATGTGGCTCAGAGCTCCAGGGTGGCCTTCTGGCTTTGTGTGACAAACCGGGAGCAGAGAGCTGGACTGCGGAAGCTAGTACGAAGGTGGAGGAAGCTTTGCAGTGGGCAAATGCCACGAGGATCAGTGTTTCCAAAGTGCTTTCAAAGGAGACGGCAGCTTTGAGCAAAAGCTCGGTGTGGACGACCCTCAAGGGCCAGCTCCAGAAGGCTTGGGAGGACTTGATGCCCTTGCACTCGGATCTCGAGAAAGCGAAGCTCTTCAAGAACCTTTCGCTTGCTGAGCTGAGGTCGCTGTTGCAAAAGGCTGCAACTGGCCTGCTCGCAGCCCAGGATTTGATCAAGGGCATGACTGCCCTCATTTGATTTTGAATGTTTCCATTCTACAATTCGTCTTTTAGGATCGACGTGTCATGACACATGTGCATGTTTGCTCTGGGGATCGAAGCAGCTGCTGCGACGAAAAAGAAGTGCATGTATGCATGTGAGCTTTAGGAAGCCAAAGGCTCCTAAGAGAATATTATATATATCCTAGGTGTATGTTGCAAAGGAAGCCTTCGGCTCCTCCAAAGAAGACTTTATCTTCGGGTTTGGTGGATGTTTCTTAAGTTAACTCTGAGGCTTTAGGGTTTGCAGGGCCATAAGTTTTGAGATAGATGATGTTTTTGGTTGAGGTGTCTGGGTTTTCTGGAGTACTCGGGTTTAGGGTTTTTGGTTGCAGCTTTTCTCGAGTTAAAGGGTTAGGGTATAATTGAGGGTTGCGGGCTGGGGTTATAGGGGTTTAGGGTTTTCACGATATTGGATTTGGGATGTTCGGGTGTTCAGGATTCAGCGGTTTAGGGGTTTAGGGGTTTAGGGTATAGGGTTTGAGATTCGGTGGTTTAGAGTTGGGATGTAGCCTGTTCATGGGTTTAGGGTTTGAGGGGTTTAGGGTATGAGGTTTTGGGTTTGAGATTCGGGGGTTTCGGGTTTGGGTGGGAGGGTGTTTAGGGGTAACGTGGGTTCAGGGGTTTAGGGTATAAGGGTTTAGGTTTGAGATTCGGGGGTTTCGGGTTTGGGTGGGAGGGTGTTTAGGGGTAACGTGGGTTTAGGGTTTTATTTGTACGGGTTTAGGGTATTCGGCTTAGGTATTTTGGTTTAGGTCAAAGCTAGGGGCTTTAGGGTTTAAGGAGGTTTTAGGGGTTTAGGTTATAAGGTTTAGGGTTTTCACGGGCTTGGGGATAGCAAGGTGTTCAGGGCTTCTGGTTTGCGAGTTTAGGGTAGGGCTTAAGGTGAGTCGAAGTTTCGTCGAAAATTTCAACGAAACTTAGACTCCTTCGGTGGTGCTTTTCTGACAGGGCATTGAAAATGTTCAATGCCCGGTAAAAAAGCGCCACCGAAGGAGTCGAAGTTTGATCGAAGTTTCAACGAAACTTCGATTCACATAGTAGAAGTTTCATCGAAACTTCGATCAAACTTCGACTCGTGCAGTCGAAGTTTGATCGAAGTTTCGATTCCGAGCAGTCGAAGTTTGATCGAAACTTCTACTGCCCAATCGAAGTTGCATCGAAGTTTCGATTGCGAATCGAAGTTTGATCGGAACTTCGACTCATGAGTCGAAGTTCCAATGAAACTTCGACTCACGAGTCGAAGTTCCGATCAAACTCCGACTCGGAGCAATCGAAACTTCGATCAAACTCCGATTCAATGAGTCGAAGTTTGATCGAAGTTTCGATGAAACTTCGACTCATGAATCGAAGTTTCATCGAAACTTCGATCAAACTTCGATTCAACACCCAACTCATCTGGTGGCGCTTTCTGTCCGGGCACTGAATTTTTCAGTGCCCGGACGAAAAAGACCACCGGAAAATCACCCAGCCAGCACCACCCAAACACCACACACGACCCACCGCCCATTGCCCAACACCCACCACCACCTAGCACCCACCACTACCACCCAGCACCCAGCACCCACGACCAACCACCAACGACCCAGCACCCACGGCACCCACACCCAAAACCCGCCACCCACCGCCGCCACGAGCAACCATCCACGACCCACCGCCCACCACCCGCCAGCCACCACCCACCGCCCACGACCAACCACCAACGACACAGCACCCACGGCACCCACACCCACCACCCACCACCCACCGCCCATCGCCACGTACCATCCACGACCCACCGCCCACCGCCCGCTATCCACCACCCACCACCCACCACCCACCACCCAACGTGTATATATATATATATATACATACATATACATATACATATATACATATATATATATATATATATACATATACATTGACATATACATATACATTTTTATTTATATATATATATATATATATATATATATGTATATGTATATGTATATATATGTATATGTATATGTATATGTATATGTATATGTAGATGCATATGTATATGCATATGTATATGTATATGTATGTATATGTATATGTATGTGTATATATGTGTATATGTATATATGTATATATGTATATATGTATATATGTATATATGTATATGTATATATATATATATATATATATATATTCATATATATATATATATATATATATTCATATATATATTCATATATATATATATACACACATATATATATATAAGATAGAAAGATATACCCTAAACCGTAACCCCCTAAACCCTGAACCCGCTAAGCCTGCCCTGAAAAGAACCCTGAAGAGTCCAGTGCCCCAAACCCTAAACCCTGAAAGCCATCAACCCTTAAACCCCCCTAAGCCTAAACCCTCCAAACCCTTAGGGTTTTAGGGTCTGTAAGGGTTTAAGGTTTTAAGGTTTTTCCACAACAGCACTTTAGGGTATAGGGTTCGGGCTTAGGGTCTTTGGGGTATACCTGTTCTAAACCACAAAGGGGTCAGGGCACCCAAAGGGGTTATAGGGCTTAGGGTTTTTTTTTCGAGGAGCACACGTATGAGGATGCCGAAGGCTCCTTGAAGATAACGTAGGATAAGGAAGCCAGAGGCTCCTTAAAGCTAATGTACAATAAGGAAGCCAGAGGCTCCTGTTTTGTGGCTGCTAGACAATATTTGTTTATCCTCAGCAGTCCTCCCAAGCCTTGAGTTTTTTCCAGTAGATCTGTGAGATGTGTGCCGCCATGGATCCGGACATCATGCAGCGGGGAGGATCCAAACAAAGAGCTGCGAAACGTGCTGCACAAACTTCGCCACCAGTTCCAGAACCCAGCCGATTGGCGACCCACCTTCTGCGGTCATTCGGCTGGGGGAAGATGTCTTTGCCAGAAGTGCAGGTGGTGGCTGCACTGGTGGAAGAAGATGCATTGGAGCCAGTCAAGGCCGAGATTCGCATACTTGCCAATCTCGGCTCTCGGGGCCTATATCAGGGAAATCTCCGGAGAGACCTATTGAGGCACACTCAAATGCCTGCTCTTGTGAGCAGCAACGTGTGTGTGTGCCCATCAAGAAAGCTCTCCGGGCTGCGATCCCGTTTTTGGACCCTGTTGACGTGTTTCGGTCGCTGCAGCGACAGCCAATGGTCTTCCGTGAGTTATGCTGCAGGAACGATGGTGACATAGCGAAGTTTTGGCGAGAGGTCGGCTCCTCGCACCCTGCACTCCTGCACCATCCCGTTAAGAAGATCAAGAACTACCAATCCAGAGCGGTACCGTTGATCCTGCACGGCGATGGAGTTCCGATTGACAGCAAGGACAGGTCTTGTGCTTTTATCTCTTGGAGAAGCCTGCTCTCCTCACAGACCTCTTCAAAGCTCGTCCATGTGCTGATAACTGCTGTTTGGACTGAGCAGATCGTGGTGTCTTCCTGTGGCAACACCTGTGGCAACACCTGTGGCCAGCATCTGGGGACACGTCGTTCGGGCCTTTGAACGATGTTTCGAAGAATGCAAGACGAACAATGACTTGTTCCCGGTGCTCCTTTTTCTGACTGGTGACTTGGAATGGTACAACACGAGTCACAGCTTGCCACGGTGGAATTCCAACTTCCCTTGCGGGCACTGCAACATCAGCAAAGACAATATGTTCGACTACAAAAACGTGGCGGAGGTTCCTGTGGATCCATGGCACTGCCCTCGCCGCAGCTGCTGCCCTCTCCTGCGACACCTTGTGAGCCCCAGTGGTGTGATTCCGGACTGGATGCACAGCAAGCACCTGGGCTTCGACCAAAGGCTGGCAGGCTCGACGTTGTGGGTTCTCTGCTGGAGGATCCTTCCTGGCGGAGTAGAGGAAAACCTGGACAATGTATTGCTGCAGATGAAGGCTGTGAACTTTCCTTTTTTTTCAGATAGGCTAGCTTAAGCTCCTCTTGTTTTCAGATAAGTATAGGCAGCTTAAGCTCCTGTTGTTTTCAGATATGGTATAGGCAGCTTAAGCTCCTGTTGTTGTGAGACATGGTATATAAAAGTTGTAGTGTGTAGGCAGCTTCAGCTCCTGTATGTCTCCCTGCAGGACTACTGGCGGCAGCACAAGGGCAATGGCATCAACTACATCACTCAGACCATGGTCCTGGCTGACCCACAGGATATTCACTGCAGAAAGGGATACCCTCGCTTGAAGGCCAAGGCAGCAGAAACTAAGGGCGTTATTGCAGCTTTGGCGAGCATCTGCCAACAGCACCTGCAACAGGACAACGAGGAGCACCAACAGATTGCCCTGGCTTTGAGTTTCAGCCGCGATTTGGACCAAATGGCAGATGGCATCGAAGACTGGAAGCCCTCGAAAGAGGTGGCGGATCGGATGATGCTCACGGCCGTTTGTCTCTTCCAGTGCATGACGATTTTGAATAAGTCCTTTCTGGAGCAGGGCCATCTGGCCTTCCAGTTGACATTCAAGACACACTGGTTTCTGCACGGGCTGCAGCTGGCGAGGCATCTTTCCCCCAAGCTGACTTGGACATATTCCGGCGAGGACTATATGTCCAAATGCAAGGGTCTCCTCAAGATGTGTACCAAGAGCCGGACGATGCTGACTTCGTTGGATCGTTTCATGCGGCAGTACACAGATGCCATGTCAATCGAACTGGCAGAGATCCTTGCACAGCCTGGACCGCCGCTCTGAGGAGAAAAAAATGGGATCGTTCCTTAATTGCTGAAGGAAGCCTCGGGCTCCTCGTTCCTTAATTGCTGAAGGAAGCCTCGGGCTCCTCAGAGATTTTGAGCGCCTGCAGTTCTGAAGCAATCTAAGCCTCGGCCTCCTTGTAGGATCTTCAGGGCACGTCGTATCTGCTGCAGCCGTTTTTCAGCTCAAGCTCGCCGCTCGCCTCCGTAGTACAGCCATGGCAGACGAGGGCGAGCAAGCCGTTGAGGTCAAGGACCTCGTGGAGGCAGCTCTGCAGAAAGACGAGGGCGACCAAGCCGTTGAGGGCAAGGACCTCGTGGAGGCAGCTCTGCAGAAAGCCCGAGAGGAGGAGCTCGACCCAGTGGCTCGCAAGTGCAAAAGGCAACGGTGGGTGGGGTACCAACACGTGAACTTCCCCTGGCTTTCTACCGCCTTCCTCAACGAGGTGTTGCCCAACAGCTGGTTCGTTTCCAAAAGAGCTTGGGAAAAAGAAGCCTGCGTTGCCCGTCGAACCCTGAGGCTGTTGACTTGCCTCCGCTTCGGCCTCAAGCTACAGCAGCTGGCTGCCGGCAAAAACGGCGGGGCATGAGTGCCATGTAGTGGCTCCATGCTATAATTTGATGCACGTGTCATGACACATGTGTATATATGCTAGGGATCGAAGTCGCTGCGAGGGAAAAAAGGAGTGCATGAATCTATAGGAGCTGTAGTCCAGGAAGCCAAAGGCTCCTGAGGGATATTAAGATAGGCCAAGGGCGAGGAAGCTGCCAACTCGATCGCTTTAGAAATGCAATAAGCAAGGAAAGGCACAGAAGGCACAAATGCACCATATACTCAGAAAGGCTTCCATGAACCCCGCAAGCCAATGGGGTCCAGGAAGCCAGGCAACCAAGAAATCCAGGATGTGTCAGTCCTGGATCCGCACGGGACCGCCTCGTGAAGACGTGGCGGTCCCACCCATGTGCGAGGAAGCCGCCAGCTCCTAAAAGAAAAGGTAGCTTAGAAGCTCCTACTGGCATCCGGTGACACCATAGGATGTGCCCGCATGCATGGTTGTTGTATATATATTGTATGTTTTTCCCGTGCAGTTTTTTTAGTTTGCAGCTGTAGGACTCCTGCCATGGCACTGCCGACAGTTGGCGAGCGGCTGAAGGTGCTGCCGTCAGTGACTGCAGCTGCCCTTGAAAATGCCGTCGAAAAAGGGTTGCGGCAGATGGGCCACAACACACTCGGCATGCTATGCAGAGGACTGGAGGAATGCTCATGGAAGACGGCCCTGGGCAAACACATCCAGGAGGTAGTGTTCCTCGCTCCGATCTTGAACCGTATCTTCGAGATCTGCACCAATGGCTTGATACCCCATGCCTTGCTCCAGACTGCTTTGCTCGGCCTGTTCAAGAGGGACATCCTGGTACTACAGGCTCCACAGCAGAAGTTGCCAGGCTGGGGGCGCTTATAATCTCATGATAGGTATAGCCTAAGGATCCTAAGACTCTAGTGCCTAACCCGGCCCCTAAACCCATAAATTCAAAGCCCTGCAGGCTGGGAAGACTCGTCGCTGCAGTACTTCAACCTGAGATTCAGAATGCTGGCCGGCAAGATTCGGGATGTTGCCACCGGCAAGGAAAAGATGCCCAAGAAACTCGACAAGCAGGCACTTCAACAGGTGCAGGCCCTCTGCTTGCAGATCAACCCGAAGTTCAAAATGGAGGACATGGTGCAGCCATCGGAGACAGTGCCGCTGAAAGGTGTACTTGCACTCCAGGACGGGCCAGCGAAGGATGCCGAGACGGAGCCTGCAGCAGCAGTCGTACCTGCACCTGTCACTCCTCCGGTGTCCCATACCCCCGCTTCTGGCAGCATGGCTGCATGCCAAGGGCATCTGGAAGCATGGACTTCATGCAAAGGGCGACACAGCAAGCTTTGCAGAATGCCTGGGCAGCCTCTCCGGCCAAGCCCCTCACCAAGAAGCAGAAGGAGGCGGCTGTCCAGAAACGGCCTGCGAGCAAAGCTCCAGAAGCCTCGCCGAAGAAGCGGCCTGCTGCCAAAGATCCAGAAGCCGGCACAGCTGCCAAGAAGCAGAAGGAGTCTGTTAACCCTGCCCCTGTCTACCAGGAGGCGATCAGCACTATTATCTCTCAGGCCGTGTTTAAAGACACGGACAGTAGGAACCACTACACATCTAGATTTTACGGCAAGGCGAAGAGGCTTGCTCTTGGCCACGGCTTGAGCAAAGAGAAGGCCGTAGAGTGGGCTCGCAAAGCCCACTCGAAAGGCAGCGAGCTCTGGGATGAAAAGTTTCACTGCGAGTGAAGTCCACTCGAAAGGAAGCCATGGGATGAGACTGCGAGTAAAAAGGAGTGCTGCATCTGGGGTTTTGGGGCAAATTATAAGCCAGAAGCCGCTTAGGAAGCAGAAGCTCCTTAAGCATCCAGTCCAAGATTTAAGTCAGGAAGCCTTAAGCTCCTGAAGCATCCAGTCCAAGATTTAAGTTAGGAAGCATAAGCTCCTGAAAAGAATTCAAGGAAGCAAGAGCTCCTGGAGGAAAATCAAGGGCTAAAATAGCCTATGTAATAGTTTAAAATAGACTATTCAATAGTTTAAAATAGACTATAATAGTCTATTTAAAATAGACTATATCCTAGTCTATTTTTGACTATATATCTTATAATAGACTAATAGTCTATTTTAGGATATATAGTCTATTAACAGCCTAAGAAGATTCTTTGGGTAGTTTAAGTTTATGCAACACATGAGTGATGGGGGACTCAAATTGTTTTCAATATCTGAAAGAAAGGACCGGATAGTAAACATAAATAAACCCCCTCCCCACGAAATCATCCCTTTAATCTGGACCCGAGCTTTCCAAGCACATCCGGACCGGTGCTCGACCCAAGCCATAACTAAAACCCGAACATAATTAATTACATCCATCGGTGCCCGCACGTGCCTGCTGGCTGACCTGGAACGACCACTGCCCGGCTGGATCACGAACGGCCACGACCTGCCACGAAAACGACTAAGAGAGAAGGCTCAAAGCAAACATGGATGCACACAACCACACGCAACCACGCACGGCCACTTTTTTTCCGTTTCGGCGGTTCGTGGCATCTGTTGCCGCGATCCACAAAATGATGCCCCGGTCTGCCTCCGAACAACTACGGCAGCCGGGTTCATAGCAGCATGGCCTGAGATACATGACTGAACTCTGCACGCCGACATGTTGCCCGCTAAACTTCTGCTGACCAATGAAATCAACCGAACTCAGCCAAGGCACTGCAGGACGAACGACGACGAACGTCGCAGCGGCGATCGCGAGAGTCGTAGTAGCCGTACCGAGGACGGCTGAAGGCCTCAGTTCGAGTTAGACAATGACGTGGAATGCAACCAACAAACTATATCAAGCTCAGCACGCACTGCTTCAGTCGAGCCGCTGGCTCGTCGATGTACCGGGGTGCCGGGCGACCCGGGTGGCCAGGATCCGAGAGGCGGTCACGGTCGTCGAAGCCTCGACGATCGTAGTACTCGTCCCGGTCACGAGGGTCCCGATAGCGAGACCAGGCATCGTCACGATCGTCATAGCGATCGCGATAGCCAGAGCCACGACCAGGCGGATCTGCCAATGGCTGCTGACAAACTACTTATTAATACTGTGAAAGGCCAATTGCACTAAATGCAAACCAAGCCACAGTCACCACGGCGATCGTCCGGATGCCCACGACGACCACCCTCCGCCCGACGAGAGTCGTAATGGTCGTAGGTTGGCCGGGGTGCCATTGGCCGAGCGGCCAGGGCGACCGACCCTGAACCTTATTGAACAATGCAGAGCAGCAGGATTCACGCCAACAGCTGCTCAAGCAAAGCTTAATAACACCGAGCGGCCCCTTTCGATGTCGGGCCTGAGCCGGTCCATCTCCTTGCGAACGGCCGAGGTGATGGCCGCAGACGGGTTCCGGTAGGTCCGAACGTCCGCATCATTCTCGCCTCATTCAATTGCAATTTGCAATGCAAAACAAACACCATGCACGAAAGAACACAATCACGACCGGCCAAGTCTCGCTGAAAGATGGAAAAGAGCTCACGCACGAATCGTGCTCCGTCATCCGAATGTCCAGCGAGGTTCGCGACCGACTGAGCAAATCGGGCTTGTCACGATTGTGCCATCTACCTAACTAAATATAAAGCAGCCGAACGACCCGCATGCAGGCATTGTCCAGGTTCATGGAATCCAATTCCAGAAGCACCGATGGAGCGACCCGCCAGACCTCCCAGCGAACCTCGGAATGCATCAAAGTAAGTCTTAAGTATTAAGTTTAATTTATTTTATAAGTCCTAGGAGTAACAGTTGATAACCGAGTGGCTGCATCGACAACGGGGTTCCCGAGAGACGGCATGAGGTGCTCGATGTCCTTCGGGTCGAACCGCCCCAGACCGTAATCGGCCTCCACGTGGACTTTCCCGGGCGGCCCATCGCCAGTGCCATCGCCGTCGGCCGACCCCGACGAACGACCGCCGCCTCCGAACGGCCCTCGACGACTGAGCCGGCTCTCAGCGATCAGCCGCTTGAGGTCGTCGACGTCCTCATCGGGAAGGCGAGCGACCGCCCACCATTCGGTGTGCAAGTCCCCGAAAGTCGGCAACCAGATCGGCAACGAGTAGACCGCCGACAAAGCCACGCCCAGCGACGCCGAGCGGTTCTTGCCGTGGGAGCTAACTAAGTCTATGATCTATCAGAAACCTCAGACCTCGCACAAAACTGGTCACACTGAAGCACTGAAAAATACTCTAAAACAATCCAGCCACAGATGATCTGAAGCACCGAACGACCTTCGAGAGGCAGCAGGGCATCGAGCATCGCACAGAGCATGAGGAACGCCTGCACGAACTCCGGCTGATCTCGAGCGGCCTTCCAGGCCCCGTAAACGGCCAACGGACAGCCTCAGCACGCTAGTAGTGTGGAACATCGCACAAGCCACTGCAACACATGTTCTGACCGATTA